TATATATATATATATATATATATATACACATATATATATAACCTTAAATGATTTTGATTAAGGTATCCTACCTTCTTCACTAGTGACAAATCCAATAATCTCAGAGGGTTCTCCGTGTCCTATTTCATTTTCAGCCACAACGGCCAATGCGTACGATGTTCCCGGCTTCAAATCCTGGATGACGGTATTAGTTTGAGTGGCTGCAACATCCTCTTCATTCAACGTCTGGGGACCATCTATTAGAGATAAACATAATTTGCTCTTTGAAATTAATTTTTAATTGATATTTGTTAATTGCTTATTGTCTTCAAATGTCAGAAAACATACTTAATTAAAAAAAGGTATAAAATTAAATAAATTTCTATTTCTGCTAGAAAATTATGAGCTTTAAAAAATAGCTTTCTGAGTAACTTTCGTGATAAATATTTGGAACTTATCGGAAGAGTGTGTTGGCCCCAACGCTCTTCCGAGTTGTCACCAACGCAAACATTACTCCCCATGAGCCGATTTTTCGATATTGCGATGCATTGTCAAAAAATATCGATGTTTAACAATAAATTTTCCAATAAAACTGATTTATATAACTTTTAGGACCGTCAATTAGACTTATACACTGTTAATAACAATTATTCGATATTTATCGATATTATACATATTATACATAATGCATATTATACATATACATATTATACATTTATAGATATTATACATACTATACATTCGATATTATACATAATGGTATCGACAATGAGTGCGATATTATCGCATTCGATAATTAGTTTAAAATTTTATCAAACATGGTTTCAGAAACGACTTAATATAGTGTGAGTAAAAACTTAAACTGAGTAAAAGGTTAGTGAAAAGTTTTAGGAAAATAATAATGAAAGGAGTTTAAATACTTTTGTATTTTTAATTCTTTAAGTTACGCAGCATAACATCAACAAATGAAGATTTTTCTTGCGGCGGACGAATAAGCTTTTCTTGCAATATTTTTCAGCGAAGCACTTATCTAGGAATTTAATAATTTTTTGAGAACTGTCACGGATCTCCGTAACTCATAAGCACAAAAGTTAATATCACGATGTATTATAAAAAATGTCGATGTTTTACAAGACATCGCGATATTTATAACTAATTTGTACTATTTTTACTTTGGTCAATACTTCCGTTACCTAAATAACACAAGCATTCGCAATAATATATTATGCATAATATTCAAGATAGTATCCTTTTGATATATTAGGTTATCGATAATGATCACGATATTATCATGATTAATAATTATAGTTTCTAATAATTATAGTAGTCGATCTATACTGTTATCATTAACGATTGCGATATTGTCATATTTGATGCAAATATGTATATTTGTGGTAAATGATAACCTGAGTAAACCAGAATCTGGAGTTGATCCTACGTGTTGGCTTCATAACCTATAATAACCAGGTTTTAGCCTATAAGAAAATATAGGAATCATACTTTAACCTGTAAGAATCTATAAGAACCGGGTTTTAAAGTATAAGAATCTATCAAAACCAGGCTTTAACCAATAAGAACCAAATGCAAACAATGTAAACAGCAAAAATGTAAACAAATTTCTGCTCTATCAGTTCCAATTTTGCTTTGAATTATGAAATATGTAATTATAGTCCGACTACTATACTAGGACTATAATTAATTTATAGTCTCAGTGTAGCTTTCAAAACACATGTCTTCAAACTTATAAGTAGATTTAAGGAAGATTACTTTTCTATTGATAAATGGTGTGTTTTTAAGTTTATTTAATTTAAGAAACTATATATACATATATATATTTTCTTCTTCTGATTCCATTCTGTTTTTTATATTAAAAATTAAGGAGAAAGTATGCTTAAGAAAACATTAGAGGAAGATAATATAATCTATACCATCATAAAGCCTCTTCATATTACATTTATTAATTTGAATCTAAGACGATGTTTAATCTAGATGTAATCACCCGTTGGGGCCCTTGTTTAGATCATTCACTTAAATTAAAAACGAAATATTATGAAGCGTTCGTAAAACCGTTTATGGACCAGATTAAAATAAGAATGTTAAACGTAATGATGAGATAATTCCACTTTAGCTTGGGGGTTATCCCGTATTTAAACGGTCCATTTGTGCAATTTTGTGAATATACGGTTTTTATTTCGGGCAAACTCACAAAACTCAGTGGTTTATTCATACTTTTAGTAAACAATCTCGTTTTCGAGAATTTGTGGAAACAAATTCTGATACTTTGTTACCTAAAATTACTGCGAATCTACCAGGTCCTTGTTTTTGTGAATACGTTAAGAGAAGCTACTGTTTTTATGATAAAAAACACCAGAAAATATCTCTTTCAAGAAGTCAACTTATGGATAAATACCGTTTTTCAAAAGAATTTCGTCAATTTAGTTCATAAACTCAGGAGGTGTATCGCTTTTAACACAAATATGTAGAATCCTTGTTCAAAATGAAGTAAGAGAAAGTTTATCAAAGCTTAACGAGAATAATAAAATGAAAACATCATAGCCTGTTCAATTGCTGGAGAATATGGAAAAGATAATAAAAAAGCAATTATGATCAATTCCCACAAGTTTCCCCATACTTCAATACTAATATGAAGCCTATCGTAGGCATACCTTTTTGTCTTAATTTTTTTCTGAGAAATACATGGAAAATATTATGTTTAGTCGTTTCGAAAAACCAATCATCATATTTTAAAGGAGAGATCATTTACAGAATAATATAATCATTGAAACTTGAATGATATTTTCAGAACAATTCTATGCTTTTAAGATTACACTATACCATAGCTGCCAACATGAATGAGAAAAAAATGCAGTAGATTTTATAAAATAATACATATTTCGCTATAATTGTTGAAAAAGGTACTAAATATTTTGCACGTGGAGAATTTTAAGGATTTTTATAGTCATCAAAATAGAAAAACTGCAATATTTTCCTTTCATGATTAACATTAAATGAACTTAAAATGTTACGCATTATGTTTACTCATAATTTCGAACAGTAATACGCATTTAATTCATCAAAGGTAATTAAAGGATTTTTAATTAACTAAAAAAAGGACTTCTGAATGAAAATAAACTTGAAATTTTAGAGCAAAAGGTTTTAAACCAATTTTTATAAATGAGGCTCGTTTCATTATGTATTAATAACAATTATTTAAATAGTGAAACAAGTAATAATCTGTGTAAAAATTCTGTTTCAATAGGGATTTCATCAGAAGACTTACTAAATTTCAGGAAACTTAAAAATTTACAATATACCAGTAGAATTTTTATTAAATCAGTAGATCTGGAGAAACTGGCCAAATCCAGTAGTCTACTGAAAAATCCAGTAGAGTTGGCAGATATTGGCAGATACAATTGTTTAGATTGTAAATGTAAAAAGACATCTAAAGAATAAGGGCAGAAAATCTTACGTTTATCTCTCCAGTATTGTACTCGGTATTTATGTATCGGACTGTTTCCAGAATAGGGTGCTGTCCAACGAATACTGGCACTTCTAGCCCACACGTCCAGTACCTTCACATCTAACGGCTTTTCGGGAACCTCTGAAATGATATAGAGGCATTAAGTATTTTTCCTTTCTGGTGGAAGCATTAGATTTTACAAGCATGTGATCGGTACAATTGATGTGATACAGGTCACCTTTTTTTAATCCAGACTGTCCCATAGTATTACTTACTGCACAATGCATATAAATTTCTTATTTTCAATATGAAAAACGTGGTTTTTTCCTCAGAAAAACTTAAATCGAGCACTTCTGTTCATCTTCTATTAAGCAAGTAATGTTGTGGCTCATTATTATTATTATTATTATTATTATTATTACAAAAAAATATTATTAAATGTATAAAACTATAAGGTGAACAATTATTTAATTCTATTTTATTTTACAACCGTCGTTGAAGAGCCGGCATAATTTTTTGGGCTACTAATGTTCAACTCCGTAGTCTTGCAATTTTGAACCCAATCCAGAAGACAAGGGAACTCCTGAATCAAGTATTGGAAGAAAGTTTGCCTTCGTGGAGGACTTTTAGATTGAACTAAATCGCATTTGCGTTGCATAGAGAGGAAGATCACGAGAACCTCCCTCGGTTAGTCTGATGACAAAGAGACTCTAACCCATGATCCGTCTACCACTGAAGACGTTTCACGCCAGCACTGGGGTCGGTGCAAACCAGATGCAAAGTTCGTATCATTCAGTCATCGCTGGGATTCTAACCCAGTTCACCACATTGGAAGGCGAACGCTCTATCCTCTGAGTCACCAGGGCTCACAACAGATAATTTGTAGCAAATGCTTGATCCAGGATTTTCCTTGTCTTTTGGGTTGGGCTACGGAGTTGAACATCGAAAGCCGTTTACCCGAAAATAGCATTATTGTTTAACGCTGGTTATAATCTCTTAAACTACGAGGTAAATTATGAAGCACTTAAATTTTGAAGAAAAATAATGATATCTGATGGCCACGCATATTTTTAATTTCTTTTGAATTTTTGACTAAAATTACGGTTTTCATTTTTCAAAAAGGATTAAAAAAAGGGTTAAAAAATTAACATAGTTTACGAAAAGGATTAAAAAATTATAGCAATTTAATTTTTCCGTAAGGCCGTTAAAAATTTAAACTGTAAACTAAATATGAATGTAGTTTAAAGCTACTCATTTCCATCTTACCTACTACAAGAACTTTGATATTCCGTTCGTCATTTCCATAACTGTTTGTAGCAGTACAGGAATAGAGAGCTCCATCTCCACGCCCAACATTCCGAATAAACAGTTCAGAATTAACACCATTTTTCGAATAGGTTTCAAACTTTTCGTACCTGAAACGAAATGAACGTTTAGTCGCAGTTAGTGAAGAATATTAGATTGAATTAAAATATATTTAAAGAAATGCATAGGCAAATGAAAATAAAGCCGAATTATCAACATAATTTGCACTAAAAAATATTCAAAATGAAGCTCATTTCCTGGAACATTTATTTAGTTTGATTTTAACAGTCAAATAAAAATTTAACTTTTAATCAAGAACTAAGCCACGACACATAACAGCCAAACCAAGCAGCTAAAATAATTACTTAACACTAGAAAGACTGAAATTTAGTATATATCTATATTGCCCAAAAGCAGTCAAAATGACTGGATTGTGCATGAATAACTAATATGTAAAGAAATTTTTTAAATTAATTTTTAATATTTTTTACATTACTTACAGTTATATAACAAGTTATTAGTAAATATTTACAATAAAAAAATTATTTAACTTGGAAAAAAATAATTTATGCATTATTATTTGCATATTTTTTGCAAATGAAAAAGCAGTTAAAAAGCAGTAAAAATGGCAATCTAGTGTTAATAGCGCATATTTTATCTGTATTCCATAATGACTGTTTTAGAATCCTTGTCCAGCGAATTACTACTGAGGTAGGCGAGACTGAATGGAGGAAAGATAGAGGATTGAAAACATTAAAACTTGTTTGATTGTTGGAAAGAAATAGAGAAGGAGGAGAAAAGTGATTAATAAAAGCCCTCAAGGTTTCAAAACATCGATTTCTATCAAACTGGTTTTAATGTCTTCATCCCACGTTACTCCCAGGTGATTTGACAGATTCATTTCAATCAACTTTTTTATAACTTAAGTATTAATTTGAAATCACCAGTGTTTTGGGAAAAAGTGTTGCAGCTTGGAGCACTTTTTATGTCAATTCAAAAGATAACATTCAAAAACACATTCTCTGAAAGATGTTTTTTTCCCAGTACAAAAAATTTAAAAATAAAAATTTGTCAGAAATTTATCTGGAAATCGCAAACGGTTCTAAGACGCAACAACTTGGTGCATATTGGATTGATGAGCTTGTATCTCAGGAATGAAGATATTGTATCAACCAAGAAGATTACGAGAAAAATTATCAAGAGTCTGCTTGATAGAAAAATCAAGTTTTTCTTAAAATTAAAATCGTAGCACTTGGAGAAAAAAAAATTCTGGTAAAATTTCTGTATCATAAAGAAATCCTGGCGGAATAAAACTATAATTCTGGCTACAAAAAAGAAAACAAACTGTATTTAAATTATTCATTTGGTAATTTTTCCGTTCCCATAGTAAAGGCTCACCGAAAATTCTGATTTTCCAAATTATAGTTTCTATTATTCCACATTTAGTAAATATACAAAACTGTAAAGTAATTCAACCGCACAAATGGTTTTTATGCCATGATCTATCTAAGGTATCAAACTAAAATAACCAAATTTAACAACATTTATCAAATTTTAACACAGATTATAAAACAATATTTTGTTTTTAATTTTACCAAATTATTATCAAAGCACTTCGAAAAACATTACCATGCTCTTTGTTATTCCCACAGAGCGAGAAAAACGGTAAATGTTACATATTCTGGTAATTTTGATCGTACTTTTTTCCTCAATGCAGTAAAGGGAAGAACACTAACATAAATTTTAAATTTTATCTGTGGAACTTTTATTAAGTCTCTTTGGTTCAAATTTTATAAAACAGTTTTCGATTAAAATTTTTCATGGAATTAGAATTGTTGAAAGTTTTGATGTTGTAATTTTATTTGTTAAAATTTTCTCTGAAATTTATCTGTTACAATTTCATATGTTAAAAAAACTAAGATTGCTTTTAAACCTTACCCGGACATTTCTGTAATCTCCAATTCTCTCTTATCCTTATACCATACGATGGATATAGGTTCGTCTCCCGTTGCATCGCACCTTAAAACAGCACTGTCCCCCTGTTTTACAGATTCTACCTTGAACTTTTCCTCAAATCTTGCTGGAACTAACAAATAAAAATAATGATATTAAAATTCCTAATAAATAATGCTTTTAATGTTTGCTTTATTTGGCAAAGAAAAGTGCTTATAGATGGGAAATAAATGGGAAAAATAATTCGAAACAATTTTAAAATTTCTCACACATTACACCAAAAATACTCTGGTTCGAAAAAAAACAAATCTGAAAACGACAACTTATGATAATTTGTGTATACATCTGCTTTAATGTAATTACTATGTAACATCATGACTGTTAAGGCAGAGCTCAGCTTTTTTCATTTGATGATAATTTTGATCAGTATGTCCAAAATCGTTTTTTATTTGTTTCCTACATTTTAAATTCTATATTTTATTTACTATTGAGCTTTAGAATAAACTAATTAAATATACAAATCTGAGACTTTTTGAAAACTGATGTTATGAAGAAGAAAATGTTAAAAATTTAAAGTATTTGTTTTATGTATTAAATTTTTACTTTATTAAATCGAAAGAAAGTTCTTCCAAGTGTAAGAAAGGAATTTTCTTATTTTATTAATGTCAAAAAATAAGTTTATTATTATTTCAAATGTACTTTGGTTGATTGCTGTTCTACAAATAAATAAATAAAAATTTCAGGCTTAAAAGTACCCTTTAAAAATATATAAATATGAAAACTTAATACTTATTTCTGCTTATATAGCTTATTATAATAAGAATATATTTTCATGAAGTGCATTTTTACTAGAATATAAGCTAAAATAAGTATTTAAAATAATTATATGCTATAATTTATGAAATGCTATGAAACCTCATAAAATTTGTATTGTCTCTGAATTCAGCAGTAGAGGAAAAACAGTATTTTAAGTTTCTTTTCTTAAGGAAAAAAAGCTCTGACGATTTCATTAAAATAGACAATTTATATTTCTCGAAAATAAAAATTAGAAGAATTCAAATTTTACTGAAATGTGCAGAAATAATTTAACTTATTATATTTACATCATAAATACATTTCTTTGCCAAGCAACTTTTTATGAAACAATAACATTTCATTACAAAATGAATAAAATTAATTAAATTGACAGAAAAATACACTTCTTTTATCAAACATCAAAACAATATGAAAGTGTGCTAAGCAAGCGTCATGTCAAACATATACACGTTAGATATTAAATACCAGGCTATAAAATGTGTGCTAAACAAAGGGATAGGGAAACATATGCATTTGAAAGAAAAATATTGTATGGTACATGTTAAACACAAAAACGTCGTATCAAATACATACATCAAATAAAACATATTGAATAACTAAAATGTAAAATGTGTACTAAAAATATTATGTCTTATGCATTAAATGTATTATTATAATGACTCAACATAAAATATGTGCAAAGTAATCGACATGTCATGTATATTAAAGATATTTAACAACAACGTAGAATAGGCGCTAAACAAACATATACATTAAATATATATAATAACAAAATATAAAATATGAGTCAAATGAGTGTTAGTCGTATTTAGACGTAATAAGGAATTATTTGATGTTCAGTTTCTAACTGGTATGAATAGCCAATTAAAAACATAGAGGAGGATTTGGAAGGAAATATTAAATATTTTTTGGAGAAATTGGGATAAAACCTGAAAAAAAAAGAAAAAGTTATACGTTAGAAGTAATAAAACATATTATTTAACGTATAAATGACATAAAATTGCAAGTATAGATAAATAAAATAAATTTGCAGGATTTTACTTACCTCATCACTTTAGGACAATTTAAATCCAGTCAGTCAGAGAATTTGAGCCTAATTCAAACTAATAAAATCAGGTTAACAGAGACGTAGGGGATTTACATCGCCAGGGGACTACCTCAGTTTTTAGGTTCTTAATGATATTGTGTAGACCTAAAATGGAATTTTTCGGAACCATTTTAATTTTTAAATGAAGTAAAAACCTAAATCAAGCTCCCTTGGCATTGTTTTTTTTTAATTACTTTGAATAAGATTCTTCACCTTTATATAAGTGTTACTGTGAATGACCAAAATTAGCGGTTGCTGACAATCACATAGTCGCTTTGGTAAATGACCAAAATATATACTAAGTCTAGCTAAGTGCCCCTAACCGGAATACACTTGCCCGGTATGCCCTACACTGATTCTTTTTTAAGGTTCAGTGCCACTGCCCGGTACTCCGAATATTGATGTTTCTCCTAATCTATCTTCAGATATTAAAATATCGAATAAATTTGAACGAATAAATTAATAATCAAATATAACAAATATTTCAGACATTCACCAAAGTGACTATGTGATTGTTGACAATCACCGATAAACGTCGACGTTCGCTTGATTGCGACCATTCACGGTAACATAATGATTTAAGACAAACACTCGATAAGAACAACCTATATTATTAACATAAAAACAGAAACTATGAAACAGAAACTATATTAGTAATAACAGAACATAGATAAAACAAAAACTATATAAGTAACATTCATTATTAAAATTTAATAATGTATGTTACTAATATAGTTTTCCTTACACTGCGATATTTTTGATTGCATTTATTTTCTAGTGAAAGAAAAGCGTTTTTTTCTAGTCATTTTTCACTCAACATATAAGCATAACAATTAAAAAAAAATAATAATAGTAAAAAACTATGATCAAAATAAATTACAATATTAACAAAAATGTAGAAAAATTTGACAAAGTATGGGGCTTGAGATTAAACGGGAACCGGGGATATTTTAAAGAGAAAACCATTTTACCATGGAAATCATTTGTAATTATTTTCTACGAACTCGCCAAATCTATAAGGCTGCGTCTGTGAGCAAATGTTCTCTTCTCCCGCTAACTACGCTGAATCATATTGAGAAATAAGGCAATTTATTTTTACCATTGCAATTTTGAATTCCGGAAGCATAATTCTCCTAAGACTTGATCCAGGAGTTCCCTTGTCTTCTGGATAGGGTTCAAAATTACAAGGATACGGAGTTGAGAATTGGTAGCCGTAAACCCACAATTGGGTCGGCTTTTCAACGACGGTTATAACATAGTAATTCATTCATGTTTATATTTACTGTAATGGAATTTATTTGCAAAACAAACTATACCATCTAAATAAAACATATATTAGTGTAATTCAGCATTAATATTCTTGATTCCATAGATTAAACCATGCTTATTAATTATTAGGTAAAATTGTAAAGAGAAACACAACCAACTGAATATAAAGAAGACTTATTTCGAACAAAGTAAAAATTTATGAAATATCTTCGTTTTTCTTATGCCACCTACGCCAATTTTCTGTTCTCGTATCTCCTCTTACCATATACTGTGAGATGAAATTCTGCAACAAGAATGTCGCCAACACCATTATTTGCTTCACATTTGTAATGACCTTCATCCGATTCTCTAACATCAGATATAGCCAAATGGCCTTCCTCTAAGCCGCTGGTGCGAATGTCGGATTGAAGTTTGACGAAATTTCCTTGTGACCCTAAAAAAGATATTCGTCATTATCAGTGAGTTACATTTTATTGATTTTATTCATGCCAGTTTACACAAAATTTATAAGCTGTGCAAATTATTTATGTCGGTGCAGGATTTTTAAAAAGAAATATTTATTAAAAGCAGAATTAACATGATTACACAAGGTGTTCCGTAATAATTGCTTTTCATACAAAGTTTTAAAATCCTTGGTAAAAATAAAGACAAAAAGTGTACTCACTATGTGCTAATATTTAAGAGAGCAAAAATAAATCTTTTCGAAAATCACTAGTAAAGCACGGAATAAGCATAAAAACTAGTTTGGTTGGGGTTTTAACAATCACTTTTCAACTCCTCTCCTCTTTCAGTGGCAATCACACAAGTTTTTCCTTTTTTAGTATCGCCTTCTCTGCTAGTGATTCGTTTGATTTTTATAGCATTTTTATTCTTTTCCCCCTTAAATATTAATTAGCTTAAATCTAAATTTTTGTAAGTCTAAACGTTCCCTTTATTTTTAACAAAAGGTTCTAAAATTCTATATTAATGTCAGTCATTACAGAACACTCTGCATAGTATTTTAATATACCATTGGCGGGAGGCAGCAATTGTTTATCAATGAGAATGATTATTATTTAGTAGAATAAATTTTCTCGATTTTATGAAAAATTTTTATTTAAAAACATCAGAGATTTTAAAAATGGACAGCACAGTAAATTCAAATAAATCTTTGTTCTAGAAAAACATATTGAAGTTCACAAAATAAAATTTTATTTAAAGGTTTTACTGAAAATTTTGTTTATAAAATCATTTTTTCTGTTTAAAGTGTATAAATATTTAACAATTTCCTTTAAACTATTTATTCTCAATTTATGTTAAAAATTTCCCATTCAGTTTCTTAGTTCTCATCAAAAATATTTTCAAGCGATAAAATTTAAGAAAAGCAATACGGATAAAAATTGATAAGTAAGGGAAAGTGGGGTAAGACTGGCTAACTGAAATTCGAGGTCCTGTTAGAGCTGAACTGTTTGATCTAAAAACTGCCAGATTTTATCAAGATATAGATTATTTAGTGGTGTACAATATAACATTTCAGAAAAGTCATAGATGCACTATTTTTTAATCAATTATTTTTTTTCCAGAAAAAGTCAAATAGCGGAGTAAGATCGGGTGCACATGTTAACTTCCGGTCTCAATTATCGGTCTTACTCCTCTCTATATTGCAAGTTACAAAAGAGTGACAAAAAAAATTACCTTTTTTCCACCATGTAATGACAGGAGATGGCCTTCCAGATGCTCTGCATTTTGCTTCAAATTTTGTACCAACGTGTGTGCTGGAGTCCTTGACTTGTTCCAACCACAGCGGAGGAGCTGGATACAGTAAAAACAATTTAACTTAAGTACAAAATCATTCAGTGAAGTACAAAATATGTGTAATACAAAAACAAATAAAATGTTTGCTTTCATTAAATTTGTAATAAATGAAAGACTCATGATAAGTGTCAGAATTATGCAAGCTATATATGTTCTATATGTTATAT